ACCCCAGCCAGCAAGGGGACCCCAGCCAGCAAGGGGAATTCTGGGAGTTGAAGTCCACACGTTTTCAAGCTGCCAAGGTTGAGAAACACTGTGCTAAATGTTTCAGCTTCTTTCAAGGCAGCGTTTCTCAACCTGAGCAACGTTAATCTCCTAGGCCAGAGTTTTTCAAGCTGTGTTCTGCAGAATCCTTGGTCTCCCCCAGAATCCCTGGGGTCTTCCAAGATCTCCAGCTGCCGAGCTTCACAGCCATGTGTTCTCTCGCTCGATCCACAGGTGATTTCGTGGGTGTCCTTCACCGGAACCCTCACTTACGTCAAGGTGATGCTGGGGGTGATTCTTCGCAGCTGCAGCCAGAGTGCCCTTGTGTGGTACGGAGCGGTGGAACAGCTGGGATCTCTGCTAGGAGCTCTGCTCATGTTTCCCTTGGTGAACGTCTACCACTTCTTCAAGTCGGCTGACTTCTGCAGCTTCCAGTGCCCAGCATGACGTGCCAAGAGTCAAGCAGAGACTTTGCTAAGGACATTATGGGAAAAGTCTCCCAGCAGGCAGACGGGTGCAATACTCAAAGTATCACCCTTCCTTTTAGAGAGAAGGAAGGCAAGATGTTGAAGAACTGAGCAAGCCAAGGGGCATATCTGCGAAGGACCACATCCTCCTAATTGACAGCACGCAGGGTCGCAAGTGAGTGCACGCTTGACTTTGTGCTCTATTCAGAGACAAATCGTTGCCTTTCGGGGTCCCCTGAGGTCGGGCTGATGTATCTGGGCTGAGAAAAATCTGGATGACCACCAGATGGCTGCAAAGAGTTACTGCTCTGCTGCCATCTAGTCTCTGTTCGGATTTTTGCAACCCAGAGAAAATAGCCGTACTTAAGAATCAAGCATCTCCCGCTGGATGAGAAGAAATTGCCCTGTGGTTATGAATGGTTTCATAACAGATCAGTTACGTTTCCAGTATAAATATATTTGATGATATATTTGATTCCAACAGACTTTGTGATTCAGTATAGACTAAAATGAAAATAGGGGAGAAAATTCAGGAAAGTCACCCTCAGCAACTTTAAGTTGTGTGGACTTCAACTCCCAGAATTCCCCAGCCAGCATGGCTGGCTGG